GGGGGGGGGGGGGAAGTGTTCTTCCATTAACAGGCAGAATGGTATCTATTCTTTGGCATGGAAAAAGAACCAGCTGAAAATCCCTGCCCAGCACTATTCAGCCCTGCAGAAGTTCAAAACACTGAGTTTGTGCCACAGAAACCATGCCACAGCTGCCTTGCAAATTTCTTTTTTTAAAGCTTTCAGTGCAGCAGTACACCTTCCCTACTACACTTTTTCTACCCCACCATTTGATCTTTCTGTACCAAAATCATCCTCAAAATAATCTATGTCTTATTCAAGCTTTCCCTCTCCCTCAGAGGGATGTTTTGATGCCCTGTGTGTACACATGCACTGCAGATGACAAGAGCGTTTCTGGGCTGCCCCCGGCAAACAACTAGGACAGAACAGTTTCCTCTTTCCTGACGCCAAGATCCTCTGAAGCAGAACTCACTTTGCAGAGCTAAGGCTGGGCTGTACATTCTGTGCCTGGAAGACTATGGATAAATACAGGATTAAGAAGGAAGAGCATTTAATCTACAAGATTTTGGTACATGTGACACATGAAGGTGGCAACTGTAGTTTCAGATGTGGTTCTAAATGTCTTCTAGTCTTAACCCCAAGTGGACTTTTGCACTATGTTTTTTCCATTAATGAAGACCAGTATTTGAACCACATGAACACTTGTCACTGCTTTAACACATGGAAAGATCCCAACCTCCTTCTCCCTCCATACACTGCAACACTTCTATGTGCCATTCCAAAAGTATGGATTTAACCCCCAAGATCTATAGAATCCTGATCATGAATTAATATTTGCTCTGAAAAGCAATTCCATGTTCAGATATTAAGGCATGCTAGAGATCTAAATAAAGACCACAGAAGACAGATCATCATGAAAACGTGTATTGGCATTCCAACAGTTCAAGATGCAATTCAATTATCAGCACTTTACAAAAGTATCTAAAGCAGGATATACAGGGCCTAGCCAAAATCATTTGGTACTTAAAATAGGTAAAAAGTTGTCAGTTTAAGGTGTTCAGAAGTTTGAATTTCTAAAATACATTCTTTCTATGAGAAGCCTATAAATCTAAAGCCTATCCCTACCAGTGCTTTCCTAAGTACTTACACTTTACTACGCCCAGCGAGTTTTAAGAAGGTTCGGTGCTTCACATTTATTACCTTAAGAATTCAAGAAAGCCAACTGCAACCATAGTTACTATAAAGTATCAGGAACTTGTATAGTATGTGAACACTTAACAGCAACGCCTCTGGCTCAAATTCAGTCAGTACTGGCTCTCTGAATTAAATGCACACCACATTTAAAGATCGGCTGGTTCTTTTACATGTTTAATAGAAATTGGGATGTCTTATCCCAAATTTGGGACTTTGGAATTAAAATCCTAAATTAACATGGAAAAAACAGCATTTGGTTTCAGTGGTTTTGTTTGGGATGGGTTTGTTTTGGGTTGTTTTTTTTGTTTTTTTACAAAGCAGAACAGAAACTAGAGCCTGGCTCTTGCACAGCAACCACAGAATTAAGACAGTTACTAGGGAAGTAAAATTCAGTAATTGTTAAGTTTCTCTTCAGTATTAGATGAATGTGAGTTGCTGTTGCCCTTAAATGGTTATTGGTATAGCCAGCCTAAGTGCTTGATCACTTAAGTATCCGATTACCCAGTACACTAGCTAAACACTCTGAATCCAGAACCACCAAGTTATAATCACACTTTCAAAAAGAAACTTGAATAGCAAAAAATAAGAAGTTCCAGGTTCAGTTGCAACATTTGACAGTACATCTATTACAGCAAATTTTTGAATTAAGATACGTACCCAAGATTCAGGTGTTTGAGCTTCTGAAGGCTGCTAATCTGTGTAGGCAGCTCCTCAATCTGGTTGTTGAAAAAGTTGAGCACTTCTATGTTTCTCAGGTCTGCGATGTTTGCTGGCACAGCTGTAGGAAAGTTTTCACAGTGAGTGACCACAACAAGAGCAAGCTACCTAGACTATAGATACTCTCCTAGCACCTGTCTTTTGCTCTGTACAGAGGCTGACAGTAGAAGAGGCAGCTAATAGCTATTGCAATAAAAGACAAGTTTATAACAAAAAAGGCTCCTATTTGGAATCTGTGCTCATCTCTGAGAGCAGTCACTTTGTACTCTTCAGAAAATTACTACCAGTACTGTAGGATATTTTAACTAACAGAGAACACTGCAGAGAGACACAAGGACCACAAATGTTCTCAGGCTAACAAAGGGAGGCAAGCCATCATGTGAGTTCATGTAGCACACAGGTCTCAAAAAAGCAGAACTTAAGAGACTTGAATAATTTCATTATTTGAGTTGAAAAAAATGAATAAGTAGTTATACCAAGACAACTGTTTTATTAAGGGTCTTTAACAGCAAACATGAAATAAAAATTCATTTTTACCTCTGGCCCATTCTGCTTACTGCTTAAATAATCTAGTATCCAAGCTATTGTCCCTTTAAAATACAGCAAAATTTACCAAAAAAAGTTCAGCTGTAAAAGATTAACTGTTCAGTCAAGCCCATTTTCTGTTACCTCCCATGAGTGAATAACTAACTGATCAATACACTTACATGGCTACATTAGATTACCAACAAATCAATATCTGGTTATTATCTAGAAATATGAAAAATAAAGCAGAACCACAATATGAATATGCCTGTGCAGATGAGGTTAAAAAGCTACTCAGATTTGCATGTTTTCCCCCTTCAACTTAGTGAGATTTAAGCGGACAGCTGAAGTTTACATAAAAAGTTGGCAAATCACCTGCACTGAAGCTTGCACCTGTGTTCAATATTCACTTTGGTTCAGTCTCAACTTTGCATCAGTGTGGAGCTTCAGGAACCCACAGAGTGCACATCTAAATAATTAGAAGTTTTTATGAGCCCATGATTTTCTTTTATTTGTTGGCATGAGGCAATCTCAGTCTTAAAATGGAGTCAATAATGTTTACAAAGCAGAACATTATAGTATGTCACATTTACTAGATTATAAGTCTAATTACATTGTGAACAGTAACAGGATCCCTAACAAACACTCTAATTACACTACATAAATATTACTGCTGAGGGTCATATTCATTGCAGGAGATTTTTAGCAGACCTTTTTTATAAAGTCATTAAGGCAAATCTGAACATTCAAGTCCTCCATTTGCGGTATTTTCCAACTGGTCCATGCGTATCCGTCACTCAATGACAGTAAGAATTATGTGCCTTCAGAAAGTAAAGAGTAATGTACTACTACTGTTGTTTTAAATTATTCCCTAACAGAAGTTAACTGAGGATTTTAATTGACATAATTCAGCTGTTTCCAGCTCCAATATTTCACCAGAACAGTAATTACCAGTATTAAAATGTTTTCCTTTCAGAAATTAGACTTTATAATTTGACTTTGATGAAATGCAATGGACTGGCAAACCATGTTTCTGCTCTTCTCAGATAGTATGTTTATGCTAGACAAGGAATCAGAAGTACAACTGTTGAAGGTTAAACTTATAACACTGTAGCAATATTATGCTTAGGTCAAGAAAGATGTTCCTTGTGTATGTTAAAGCCAAAGGCATCCCTAATGGGAAGAACAAGTAGATACCCTTCTTTGATCAAGGGCCTCCTGGAGCCATTAGACCTTGAAGAGGGTACACTGCCAACCTGGCAAGCAAACTCAAGGTTCATGTATTCTTAGCAGAACTACCCTCAATATAATACTAAATACTACGTCTATAGGTCAAGACGACCCTTGCCCAGGTGAAGACCCTTCCCCTGAGCACATGTAGTAGTAGAAGTATTCTGTCAGAAGTATTACAATTGTGTGTAAATTACTAACCAATGATCAAAGAGAGAATGGACTTTGAAAACTGCTAACTCTGCAAGTTCTGTGTATAAATATAGCACAGGAAGTCCCATTGGTGTGCTTGATTTGTGGGAAACCACAGAGCACCAAGGCTTGCGCAACCCTAAAATAAATAAGCAATGTCTCTCCTGAGTGTGTGATTATTGACCTATTGCACACTGGGTGACAAATCTGCTTTTTGGACAACACTAGCAAATACAGGTTTTAGCTTAGTCAAACCCTAAACAATACAGAGACCAAATACAATTCTCCTGAAGTTACACTGTTGATGCAATTAATAAAAATTTGGTATGAGGTTTTGGCCTTTTTGACAGTGTAAGAGATCACACTCTCCTAGAAAAAACAGTGCAACTTAACATCACAAGTTTTGCCAAATGTAATGCAGAGCTCTGTCATGGTAACACTAAAATAAGAGCCTAACATTCAGGAGGTTAGACTTACCAAACCTACAGTCAGCTTGGCTGCTTATGCGTCAATTCTGTATTTCAGTTATTCAAGTTAAACACCATCATGAGATGACAAAGAAATTAAGAAGCTGTTATCCAAGACACTGAAATTTCTCAAAGCCAACTAAATAAGTACATCTTACACAAGGACAATACTATCACTACAGAGGTAGGAAGCCCATGAAACTTTTTTGATCTTGCTGTGAGGCCAGACTACAGAAACTGTCAGATTACAGAGACAATTTGTTAGTGCTACCCTCATGCAAGCAAAGCCAGCAATACCTGACATGAGTTTCAGTTGAATCAGTGTTGGTTAATAGGTGCCTTACATTTAGTCAGTCCTATTCAAAGCAGATTGTTACCAAATGACCTCTTGAATCATGGAGTAGCAGCAAAGCTGTTCTGCATCTGTGAATAGACCACAAGATGGGGACAAGCACCCTCGAAGCAGCCTGACAGAGTCCAAACAATAAATGACATCAAAGCAAAAAGCAGGACCCAGTTACTAAGCTATGTTGAACTAGTGACACTGATTTAGTGGATGCATCCTTTCAAACACCTGTCCAAACCAGCTTGTTCCCTCCCTTAAATTTGTATCTCACTTCTGACTTAAGCTAGTTAACTGTGGAGAAAGGCAGCATAATTTCAAGGAAAACAATGAACAGTCACCTTTATTTTAAAAAACCAAACACACAAAACAATCCAAAACCACCCATGAAACTACCCAGAAAAAGATGACACAAGACAATGGCTTCCAGAGATTTCCTTGCAAAGGATTACACTTGCAATGAAGATCACAGCATAAAAGATAACCCTAGTTTCAATGGGCTACTACACAGTTGAAGAGTCTCAAATTCTACCTGCTCCTCCTACTTGCAAACACGGGGCTAAACCTCAACTTCCACTGGCTAGTTTATCAGAGGTTTTACATCTTTTTTTCTTTTGTCAGGGCACACTTATTCCATGTAAGTGTTCCCAGTGAACAATAGGAGCTGTGTTCTTGCACACTGTCCGCTAAGATTCTGCTATATCTGTGCAATTCCCACATACCATATTTCCATGTTGTGAATCATACTTAGGATACTTTATATCATTATTCTCTTCAAGCCATACTAAGAGCTCAATGGGTAAGCAGGCTGAGATGAAAAAAAAGAGGCTAAAAATTTAGCAAAGGATTTGGATTAAATACTTCGTGTCTCACCCTGTTAAAACAAAATAAAAAGCCTCAATCCACAATTGTATTTTTTGGTTTGGATGGAGGGGTTGGAGGTATTTTTGTGAGAAGGAAAAACAGAGTAGGTCAAGACCAGGCTTCTGATAGGTGAGAGGACTTTTTCCTGTAACAGCTTATCTTCTGGTTCAAAAATTCAGGTTAATTTGTCGTATGAACGAATGCCCTCTTAGATTCAAAGAAAAATAGAAGAGCAAAATTAACTCCTGTATTGGTCTTGTAGCTAAAGCGCACAGTCTAAATATCAGCAGTGGTCAGGCAAGGCTGACTAGGCATATAGTGTTCTCTGCTCTGAACTTTACACGACTAAGCACGTCCTGACTAACATCCCACTGTTATGTTGCAAAATTCTTCCCAGATACATAGCAGACTGCCAAATACCAAGAGATTTATGTTCTGGCAATACCGAATTCCACTCAAGTCACCTTCTCATGATGAGCTGTGAGAGTGAACTGTCAGCAACCTGGTTCCATTCACCCACATATTTACAGTACGATCCACAGTGTCTTAACAACTCTTCTAAGACCATCTGCTGCCCAGTGTCATTAACAACTAAACTCCCCCTCAGCAAATGCTAGTAGAATTTGGCAGCCCAATGCCTTTGCATTCTCCTGTGAAGCTTCAGTCACATCATGAAGCCCCATTCATATTAAGTCTCACTTCACAAGACCAGGAACAGCTTCCTTCCCTTTGTTCAATACTGGAAACTGCATACAGTGATTCGCTATGACAGCTATAGACTTCACCTTTATTTCAAGAGCTTGGTTGACAGTGAAAGAAAGAGTCTACAGGCTGCACACCAAGGAGTAAGAGGACTTTGTTCGTGCTCCTGGAAATAAGGATTGGCAACTTTTATACTTCAAAGCATTTAAAAACAAATATGCTCTTTTTTGCCCTGAAGTTAGTGGCAATTCTTTAGGCACTAAAATATATTCTCATCAGAGCAGCATTTCACTCTAGGCAAGTTATTACATTTAATTCCTACATAAGCAGCAGCTGTTCAGAAGTTCTGATATGATTTCTAAAACTTACATATGAAGGATTTAATGCTACTGTTCAATGCGTCTATAACTCCACATGTAAGTGTCCTAGATCTGGACCTCAGTTCCCTCCCCACATCAAGAACCAGAAGCCAACACTAGACATCTATGTTTAGTAGAGGTCTGATGTTGCCCTCTGTTGGAGAACAGATACTGGGTTAGATGGACCTTTTATCAGAGACAGCTATCATTCAGAGCAACATGCTAAGAATATTTAAATCAGCTAAAGCAGCTTAGACTTAAGTGTCTCAGATGTAATCCTCTCTCAAAAAGCAGGAAGTCATAGTCATACCGCTATGTAGAACTGACATCTAGATCCAGCTCCTTTTGTATACCCAACCTCTGACAAAGGAAGAACACA